GAATAAAAGAGTGATTAAAAAACAATTAAAGAACCCTGAGTGTGGCACTAAGCGTTTTCAATTAATTAACAGTACGTTATATACATTCATATAAAATTTAAAACTAAGAAACTTGTCTTCGATCTTCGAGTTCTAATAACACAGTTAAGTAATAACATAATATATGAATCAAGGATAATAACTGGGTAACGTAATATAAACTTTATATCCGGTAAACGCAACTATGCGTAAGGTATAGTTTATTTTAGTTCCCGCCATTTTTAGCGCACGATCAAGAGAATTACCTTTTAATCGACACCATCTTTGGAAAATCACTGTTTATTTTTAGGAATCACGTAACTATACACCTTATTGATGTTATCTGTTACAATTAGAGTGATCGAGCCCGCTTTAATATCTTAGCACGAATGGGTCGGCTCGCCCGGTGCAATACCACGACCACATAAAAGACAGGCGTCAAGTGGGAGCAACTCCGCGTTTGGTCTGGAGAGTGTGGTGTCGGAGGCCAAAGTTTAGACTCTTTTTCTTCCCACCCTTTCTCTCATTAGAATAGGATGGAAAGGGAACGTGGTTTACACGGCGGAGGACGCATAGAAAGGGGAAATATCCTCTTTATGTGCGTCTCCACCTCCGTCGATTAAGAGTCGGCAATGCATCCGCTATTGCGAATGTCTATGGGCAGATGTCGCTTCACCATTCGGGCGGATTCAGGTGGCCGTTTGCTCGTTTGCCACCTCATGATACATAAAAAAACACTTTAAAATCAAATTCAATGTCTGTCTAAACACGTCGGGAATCTGAGGTTGGTAACCGGACAAGTGAACGGCATTTAGAGCCTACTTACGTGCACACTTTCACGTACGAATAGCTTCGGCAATGACGTTTTTAAATTAAAAATATCAACAGTTTTACGGAGATTACTTTCACTTATATGATTATCCAATCGAGTTGTTTTTATTACTAGTATTTGTAGTACTTATTGGTAAGCTATTAACCCTTCGACGGAGTTTTTTGTAGCAAAAAAAAACTGTATTTTTTAGTATAGCCATATTTTTGGATATGAAATAAAGTAGTTCAGTAGATTTTTTAAAAAGTGTTAAGAATGTATGTGGATGGCTACAAACGAAGAGGAACACCGAAGAAAGTATGGATGGATTGTGTGAAAGAGGATATGCTTAAGAAAGGAGTGGATGATATGATATGACGGCTGATAGAGATGTATGGAAGAGCAGCACATACTTTGCCGACCCTCCGTTAGGGATAAGGGCAAGTTGATGATAAGTAGATTTTTTAAATAAGATGTTCGTTACACTCGACACGGTCAAATTTAAAAATAAATATGCACTCCAGATACATGAGTGTAAAAATTTGATCATCGGTTTAAAGTAAGACTTTGTTTTGTGGATTTAGTGGATGTCTATGAGATTGTTATGTTGTGCTGTTCTTAAATCGCTATACCTACATCATCTTTAATATCATAAATGCGAAATCGAAATAATAGATGAATAGATATTTATTACTAAATTTTAACGAAATTTGGTAAAAATGTAGAACATAGTTTGTAAGAACACAAAGGTTACTACCGATTTTTTTTACTTAGGACAAACTGCAGGCTAAAGTTGGTATTGTTTATTATGTTACTTTTGTTACAGTTAAAACAGTTGACATGCAACCATATCATGTTACAATGCGTTTAATTTTCACATGTTAAATTGCTATCAAACAGTGTCGAATTACTTGGTTTTGCTAAATTATACTGACACAAATTACAGTTAGTTATAATTGTAATATACATAACATGTATGTATTACATAATTTCGTATACAATGTATTTATTAAAGAAAAAAACATCGATGATTTCTTGCTTGCGGGAAATTGTCTTGATAGTTAAAAGTTCTTACGTAAAACAAAAGCATCTAGAAGTTTCGATTTACAAACATCGTACTAATCATACTAATATTGTAAATGCGAAAGTTTAGATGGATGGATGGATGTTTGTTAGAGTTTGTAGCCTAAACGGCTAAACGGATTTGGATAAAGTTTGGCATAAATGTAGCACATAGTCTGAAAGAACACATAGGCTATTTACTTTTGTATTATATTTATCCTACGCGGACAGTCGCGGGTAAAGGCTAGTCTAATAATAAATTAGTCAAATCAACAGTTCTGTACTTCCCTTGTAGGTGCATCAATTTTTTTAATCCGCAATTCCGACTTTCTAGTACTCCGTAATGTCTTGTCTTAAGAAGACCACGTATTAAACGAATAAAATGAAACTTACATGAGCCTGTCAGGGTACTGGTTCAGCAGTCTACCAGCGGCAACATAGTCGCTGATCATGTCCGCACATAGCAACTCCGGCTGCCAGCAATCCGGTGCCGGCTGACAGAAGTTGCGGTGCTGCCGCGACTGCATCACTCCACGGGGGTCACGTATCAACAATATCACTTTTACATTAAGCCTAAAAACAAAATAACATAACATAATTCACATTAAAAAAACACAGATACCAGAGACTTCCATTTGATATGGTTTGTGGTTTGGCGATATTCACACGTAATTTTTTTTTTGCATGGAAGACCAACAGCTATTTATTACAAAGGTGTAGTGGTAGTTAAATTTTACAGCCAAAAATAGGTCTCTACTAATAGAATTAACTCTAGCTGTTATTTGTGGATCTGTACTCATGAAATTAAAAAAAAAAAACAAGTAATAACATTTTAATGGTGTAAAAATTTTAGAATTCAGCCAAGTAGTATTTGAGTAAATTTAATATGGATAAAATTACAAATCTTTCCTCTTTATTATATTAGTATAGATCATAAATGGATATAAAATAACCAATAATAATGTCTCTAGTACACTGTGAAATCTAAGTCAAGTGGAAAATTTAATATAGAGTTTTGCTCAAGTCACTCAAATGTTGCTGGAACGAACTAAAGCTAGGCTCATAACAAAATTGGGTTTGCATTGGTTCTAGATTGCTTCTATATAGAATACCAGCATAGTTTAAGGATTTTTTATAACAGTGATCTCTTACACTCACATCAAAGTGAGCGGACCCATTGTTTGTATATTCTTTCACCATAAAAATCAACACAAGTAAATTGAATTTGGATTAAAATTTCAAACAACTTTCAGAAATATTGTGACTGTTAACTTGCATTTTGTGCTCTTTTTATGTAAAAATCCGCTTATGTGATTTTAAAACTTTTAAATTGTCTGCTTTTTGCAGTGTAAGGATGTTGTTTATTATTAAAAGAATATGTGGGATTGTGAAACAGCTTTATTATATGCATTTTATATTCCTTTTGTTTTTTAATTTATATTCAAGTACTAAGATATGTTTTGTTTTTTTGCTATACACATAAAGAGAAGCTACAAAATTTTAAACATTTGTAGAACAAATGTATAAAGTTGAGACTTAAAAACTAAGACCCGCTGAGTTTTTGCTAGCTGATGTTTAAAGTAACACAGTATGTTTCTATCTAACAAAAGACTTTAGTTAAAGTGAAGTTTTCTTAATATCTTTGTTTAATAAAAGATTTTTCATGAAAAGAAGAAAGTATTTTTTTATATTGTAAAAGGTGAAAAGTAAATGTTTTCTTGATACATTTTAAAAATTGATGATTTATTCTGTATATGTATGGAATAATACTCACTCTTTATCTTGCAATATCTCTTGGACAAGACGTAACCTGACTCGAACAACTTTCATACTTTGGAAAGGGAACTGCTTACAAAATTTTGCAGTAAATTCAGAATCAAAACACAATTCTTTCTTATATTTACAGTGGTCCCATAGTCTACCGTTGTGACTAAATTGGTGCAAATGCCCTTTTCCATACTCGAAATAATCTTCCATTCCATTAAAATTACACCTAAGCATATTTTTTATTGTTTTTAAAGCTTCATCTGCATGTGGAGGACCTCTTATTTGTATAATTTCATATTTCAGAAGCGGCTCATAGTGATAAAAATTCCCCGGCATTGCATTTAAAATCTCACCGAGAAAAGTTGTACCTGATCTCCAAGTAGAAATTATTAGACTTCTTATTGGTCGTCCGCCGGCTTCCATGAGAAGATTTTCCAGGTGATTAACTCCAGAAGCAGTGTAATTATAATTTGATAACTCAAATTTGATTTTTGACCTCGTTTTTTCTATAATTTTTTCGATGTCTGGAGAACCGTCATCGGGATTCGTTGGTAGTGGCTGAAGTAACTCTTCCCCATCTTCAACTTTCGGAATATTCTTAATATTTCTTCTGTTTTCATAGGACGGACGGTAATTTGTGTTATCTGTATATCGACTTCCAGCAAGAATTAATAGAACACTGAGACCAAACGCGATACATATTGAGTAAAAATTTACTCGCCGCAACATTACTAACAAAAAAAAATATTAAATTTTAAGACAGCAAGGAATATTAAGGACAGAGTATTTTTTTCAACACAAATACTAACAAGACACATTTAACGTCATTTTTAAAAAGTTTTTTTATGTTTCACGATCATGATTCTCGTCCTAACGTTTCCGCGGAAACACCGCATTGCACCCCTTTGCATTGCACCTTCACTGCCATCTGCCATCTTGCTGGAATGACGTTTACGTGTCAATGTCATAATTTAACAGCTGTCAAGGTACTGTCACTTTCGTTCATTAATTTAATATTATAGACAATAATTTCCATTTTCTTCACTCTAAAACTTTTTAATTACATTCATCTTCTCATATTTACACTTTTAGAAACCGAAATAAAATAAAATACTGTATTGATAACAAGGTTTCTTTAGATGTATCGCACAAGGTCCAAAAATTTGATAAAGCAGAACGCATCGAACAAATTCATTTATTTCACGTCCTACAGTTTATCTAATTTCTAAAAGCAACAACTCATTGTTAGTGTTAATTGCACTATCTGAGGTCTGGTGGTCACCTTTGTATTCGATTGATTTTTGAATGTAAGAAAACACGCCGGTAAAAAGAATAAAGTCTAAAATTTAATTCAAAAAGATGCAATTTTTTTATTAAACTATTATTTCAATAATTACAGTGGTATTTTCAAACTTTGTAACCAACAAAATGCATTTTACCGATGGTTTCTCCCATGAAAAACCATAAGCCCACTTCGGTGCATACCAGGAATAAAAGAAAAGCTTGCTTAACGGTTAGATGTGTGTAGGATTGCTGTTCAATAAACTTCCAAACCAGATCTATGTCCTGTCGCAAAATCTGAAAAAAAAAAACACTATTCGAATTTCGAAATTACATAACTTTTAGAACAATACCTAATAACTTTTAGAATGGAAAGGATTGTTTGTATCATTCTCATAACCTTCCATAAAATTCAATTGAAACCACATTAAAATGTATTATAAAACATCATACATGAAGCGAAAAATTTTAAAACTATCGTAACTCTGATTGGACAAAAGGCGACAATAAATTTTACCTTGACAACTATTTACCAATAATAGTACAAGGCAAGGCAAATATAAGACGCATTGAAGAAGTCATGCACGAGTAAATACGATGCCTATTTCAAGAGGCTGCAAATACACGAACTTATTGTATTTTATATCTAAGTGAGCAACTATCAAGAAATACAGCGCATTGCGGTAATGACGCCCAAAGCCGCATCATAATATTGACCGTTGCCTTTAAATTTTAAAGTAAACATTATTCAGATAAGAATGATCACGTTGCTCGTGTGTTGTATTTTCTTGATTATAAGCCTGTTGCCTGTTGCCTAGGTAATAAAAAGGCTTTTTAGGGAATATAAATAAGAATGGAAAGTAAAAAAAAATCACAATGATTTGCCTTTAAAAAAAAAAGAAGAGTTGCGAAAGAAAAAAATGTGTTACCAGCTGTGCGTTTAAAAGGTTCTGGAAGGAAAATTTTCATTTACTATTTACATTGGAGCTGTTTTGACTATCGGAGGTTAAAATGGAACCGATAGCCACACGTTAACCCAAATCATTCCAGACCAATATTACCTTTAATTCGTGGTTCGATGGCGGACTCATTTCTAAAGTGAAATAGCGCCTGGCAATTCTCATTTTCTCTGCCAAGTCGGACTGCATCACCCGATTTGATTTCTCTGTAGTTTTAAAAATAAACACTCTAATTTTGAAATTTGGCAATAATACGAAAATTATATCATTCTTATTGCGAGTTTCAACACCGATACAAACACTTATTGAGATATCAGTTTCCTATTAGTAGAAGACAAGATATAAAAATCAATTGTGATTTTTACCTAAAATAATCTTCGACAATATCTCTTTATTCTTGTTTAGAGTTATTTCATATGCACCAGCGATAGTTTGCAATAATCTAACGCCTGTTAAAAGAAGAAACAACATAATGTATGGTCATTTATTCTATAACTAAACGTACACCATAGAGAATAAATTTTAATTACTTACGCTTGAGATTATTTGTTACTTTTGAAATGTTCATTTTATTATTTTTATTAAATTATTTAATTGGGAGAATAACGTGCAGACCAGAAAGGCAAAATTAAAGGCACAAGTTTTGTGGTATTCAATAATACTATTATGTTGTGGCAATCATGACACTGATGTTGTCATAATTAAATTGCATTTTTTAGTTGTTATCTATGAGGTTTAAACGGCCTGTATTATCTACCGATGTGCGGTAATTATTGTAAACCAGCTTCCGCCCGCGATACCGTCCGTGTGAAGTATTAAAGAAAAAACAAAAAGCAAGTGTGTTCTTCCAGACTTTGCTAGGTCATCTAGGTTATGCCAAAATTCATCAAGATTCGTTCAGCCGTTTAGGCGGTTAACTCTAAGACATCCATTCATATAAAATTTTGCATTTATTATATTAAACAGCTCTTATGTGTACTTATGTACGTCCCCAAACGCTAGCTTAATCATTTTTTTTTTCATTATGAGTAAACAAAATAAATGAAACACGTTCAATACGCAAATTTTTTTTTAATAATTAGAATGAGTGAGTTAAGAAAAATTAGATGCCAAAACATAATACAATATTACAATTAACAAAAAATAAGTTTGAAATGTCACAAATTATATTCAAATACTCAAAGATATTGATAACGTACAAAATGTTTGTTTGTTCAGTTTTTCACTTTTTGCCTCTTCGTTTGGGTTTCTGTCGGTTTCTTTTCGGACCAGTTTTCTTGGGAGGGTCTTTTTTTGGTTTCTTTTCTGGTGGTCTTTTCTTGCTTTCTTTTAAAACCTTAGGTGATTGGGCTTTTTTAGGTATTTTCTTTGCAACTACCTTTTTGCTTTTAATTTTTTTCTCTTCGGCTTGTCTTAATTTCTCTAATGCCGCTTTGGCAGCTTCTTCTTTTAGTTTTATTTGCCTTAATTGTTCTGCTTCTATGTCACGTATCATAGATTTTAGCGTTGTTATGAAATTGTTTGCTGTGTTTGATGCAAAATCTTCTATTTTGCGACCACCTCGTCCGGCAAGATATGCAGTAGTAAACGGCGGTGCCATTTCAATTTTTGCATATTGCCACGCTGTACCAATAGCAGGCTTGGCGACTTTAGCAGTTGCTGAAATTGTATACAGTTTGTAAATACGTTAGATTAATGTAACTAAGCATAAATATACACGTGAGTATACCAACTAGGATAATTCTGAAAAAAAAATTACATAGTCACGTTTCATCAAAGAATGAAGTGCTAGGTAATTTTAGACAACTTATTTAATTGAGGCTGTCGCTTTAAACTCAGAGCAACACTTCTCGTTAGGACTCAGGTTGCGCGCCAATCCATCCATACTTCTAGTGACATTGACAGCTGTCAGCTAGGGACGTGACGTTTATGCCGATAATCTAGAGTTGCGCCAATTCTACAGCACGGTACTAATATTGTTCTTAACAGCAATTCTTATTATTTAGAAGTTTATAATATCTCAATTTTCCATAGAAACTAATGTATAATTAACTAATGAGTGAGCCTAAATTATTATACTTATAAACCTAAATAAAACCTAACATACTCTTTATCGTTTTTTATTTTCTTCTTCGCTTTTTGTAATTCTTTTTCTAGATATTTAATTTCTTTAGGTAACTGGTTATCTCGAAGCGTAGTTAATTTTGCTTCTATAGTCTCCGTTGCTTTATCGAGTACATATTCAGCTTTTGTAACTAAATTATTGTCTACGAGACGTTTGGCCGAAGTTTCTAGTATGTAACTTTTTGATCCTCTCCATAATTTAGTAACAGCAGGTCGGATAGTTTTAATAGAAACTGTAACAAACGGATCAATAATCAATATATGTAAATCAGAGAGGTTAGCTTTAACTTTTTAATTATTTCCCAAGCGTTTGGAAAAAATAAACCGTTTATAGTGATAGGTTTGCGTGAAAACTCTGTACCATGATTTCATTTGCTGCAGTTTCTTTCTAGTCTTTGTGCCATATAATAAATACGTATAACGAATTCCATTTGTATGTTAGAGTTTCTAATCTTAAATTCTGTTAAAATTACATTATTATATTTTATACAAATCCTGAGTTTGAATGCCGCCATGTACCAATTTGATTTTTGATCTTCGAAATTCATATATACATAATTTATCATACGTTTTTACGGGAAAGAAAAACGTCGTAATGAAACCTGCACATTTCGGCGAAGAAATTCAAAGATATTTGTGTCAACCAACCCCTACAAAGTCAGCGTGGTTGACTAGTATTTGGTCACCCCTAAACTTAGGGTAGGCTCTGACCCAAAGAGATGATTGGGATCTTTGGTTCTTCGGAGTTACCAGAATAACATTGAATTAAAAATACTAGCTTGATACATACCCAAAGCGAAGTCCAACGCTATTCTTGCAACTCTTGCCATTTATTCTATCACTATGTAATCCTAATTTCTTAAAAGTCTATGTTTTAAAGATAAGATAGAAATAATTGTTATTTATCAACAGTTGTGACATTTCTTTCCTTCAATAAATTATCTAGATGTTTTTATGTCATCGCTTTTTTTTTTAAATAATACCTAGTTGAGGTTTTAAGAAAGTATAAATGCTGATGAACGGACACTCGTTTTCTTTTATTTTGTAAATTATTTTTAATGTTAAGAATTCCAACATCATTTATACATCATAAAAAACAACATGTTTAAAACATTGAAATTTGATATCCCGTTACAAACCCGAATACACAAAACACTTTTAATTCAGTGCCAAAAAAAAGGCTTCGAAGGTACAGAAATTACATCTGTAGTTAACTGGATTATAGCACCCAAAAATTAATGTTTAACTTAATAAATAAAAAACAATTAAATCCAGAAGTATCTCTTTGCTTTGATAAGAAAGTAATCAATATAAGTACTTATGGCAAATTATAAACTTAGTCCGTAATAATATTCTGTATAACAAAAAAACCGTAAACAAATTGAAACAGAGTCTAGATATATTGACTCGGAATCACTTCCAAAACATACTTTTTATGTTACAAATGGTTTATTTTAATAAGTACGTTTTTACTACATTTTCAGTCGACATTTTATCCAAGAACATTCCTCGAGTGCATTATTGAATCTATTTTAACTGATGTTTATGCTTAGACTTGATTTGGCTAATACAGAGGTATATCGTAAATAAAATAATGTTATTTAATTCAATATTTAGTTTAGTTACATGGAGTTGGTACGTTCATATTTAGCACTAAAACGATTATAATACATGGATTCAGTCTTTAAGCGCCTACATTTATTATTACTGAATGAACCGCTCTTTTTAAAGGCGTTCTACGGATAAAAATAGAGATGTGCTCCAAGATTTTAGAAGAAAAATTATACTACTCATTTTATTATTATTAAAATATTATCCATAATAAGTAATCCATTCGACCTACGGTTCGAAAGCTTTATGGTTAAAGATAATATAATTTAAAAATATTTTTCTCCTTAACAGTACATTAAACTATTAAAATTAACTCTCAGAACTCGTTAAGTAGACCTCTTAAGTAATTGCTAAAACTATAGTATTAATATCAACCGAACTAACAAATAGGCGCCTCATTACAAAACATCATGTTATTCGACATTACTTAAATTTTCATTAAGTACAGTTAACTTACTCAATACCTAATTTACTCTTGTGTTACATCTCACACCGGATAATAAGCACTGATGGAATTTACTTTTTTTTAGTCTGTGCTCTTAATGTAGATAACAAATCTAAATTACTATAAATGTAGCTGGCCACAAAATTCCCAACGCTACTTTTTATAAAAAAAAATAACTTGTCATGCTCGGTATGCGGTGATTGATTTGGTCGCGTTAAAGCTTATTATTCATCTTAGATTATTCAGAATATAACTGTTGAAGTAATTTGCATTAAAATAACTATTGTAGAATTGGTTGTTCGCATGTCGGGTGGTTAATAGTTCGTAGTTTATTAATTTAAATCAAATTCATTTCTAGTCGCACTTGTTTAAAACAACTGAACGATGACTTTTAGAATGACAAAAGACAACGAGATTAAAGTGACATTAGAAACAAGATTTTGGGCCCGCGACTTCATCTCCACGGAATTAAAAAAAAAACTTTGTAAGTAGCTTTACAGTTATTCCAGAGTATGATGGCACAATTATTCATTCAAAGTTTCGTATTTATAATAATAAGTACTTATGTGTGATTATCAGAGGAATCTTATTATGCTTGTTAATAATTTACAAGTATAGATGACACTGAGTTCGAAATGATTTGAGGTCATTTAATTTGTGAAATTTTATAGTTACTTCTTAAGTAAATATCTGTAGAGAAGCTCCCTAACAAAGAATAAGTACGTTATGTGAATGTGCGGGATTTTCTTTTTTTTATTAAACAAATCTGTATGAATAATTCTTCTCTGCATTAACGTACAGGATTTTGTTATCTTTAAAATGGCCGGCAGGATCTTTCATTAGTGTCATAGCTTTATGAATAATTTTATATCATTACTAGCTGTTCCCGTGCGGCTTCGTCCGCATTGTAAAAGCTTTATTAAATTTCAAAATTACCGTTACCATAATAACCTTACTTACTTAATGTTGGCAACTTGTAGTTTATGATCCCTTTCCCAAATGAAGGTTTATACCAATCTATTTACACCTTAACTTTAATAGCGTGAAAATATATAGCCTAAAGCGTGTCGTAAGTGTAGAGCTTTTCATTAATGAAAGAATTATTTAAAAATGTGCTGTGATTGCTGACATCCTACGCCACGAAGTCGTGTGTGTATACGCTTTATTATATTAGTGTAGTTTTTTGCAAGCTTTGGTTCACATATCTTAGCAGAAGATATACTATAAGTCATACGCTTAAAGATATCGATGATTGAAAGGTTCCGTTTCTTAAATACATTCCTAGTAATCCGATTAAACTTTGCCTGGGAACTGAAATAGAAAAAATAAAATGCAGAATAAATATAACGTACTTAGTATTACCGCTTATAAAAGACCTAATTAGTTGTTTAAATCTTAACAAAAAGAATGTAAAGGTTAGAACGGTATCGATAAAAATTTAAATTTAATTTCATCGATTTCTATATAGTTTTATTACCAGAAGAGGCCTAAATCTACATAAGTGTCGAAAACATTAGGCAATCGATCAATATGGACACGACATATTTTGCAATATTATCGGTGTTTTAATAAATTATCGTAAAACCAATACAATATTTGCTTAATCATTAAGAGCCATGTTTATAGGAAGTAAATATCTTCAACCTAATAATGAGCTAAGGTGTACTCTACAAGGTTTTCTTTAAGTGGTAAATAAAATTAAAATTATTTGATTTCCTATAGCTTTGGATACTCGCCTCGTGTACTAATAGAATACATTATCGTGCTGTGTTTATGTAAACTGATACTCACGCAGTTATTTACTTAAATTTGTTATTATACGACATGAAGTCAGAAATAAAAAATAACACTAGCCGTACGCAGGATTGTCGATGACTCCCACTCCTGCTTACCGTTTCCCGCACTCGTCAACTTAGTACCGTCAGTGCGTGACGTCATTAGACCAGAGACCATTTAACAGTGGTTTAAGATCTTTGACGAAGGGGCGGGCTCGCCCGGTGCAATACCACGACCACACAGAAGACAGGCGTGAAGTGGGTGAAATTCCGCGTTTCTTCTGATGAGTGTGGTGTCGGAGGCCCAACTTTAGTCTCTTTTCGTGGATCTGGCGCTGGAGGAGACGCATAGGAAGGAGAAATATCCTCTTTATGTGCGTTTCCTCCAACGTCCTTTAAGGGTAGGCAACGCATCTGCTATTGCGAATGTCATTCAGGTGGCCGCTTGCTCGTTTGCCACCTTATGATATAAACAAAAATCGGCAAAACGTCTGTAAAGAGTAATATATGGGTTATGTAATTTCTCAATCTCTGTAATAATTGTAATCAACTTATATAGCGTCGTAAACTTTTAAACAGTAACTAAATCAAGTTTTATTAAAGATCGCTTTTATCTCTCCCTATTTCATATTTCAAATTACAAAGTTGCTTTAGAATAACTTGAGATTGTTATAAGTTTCATATATGCTTCTACCGGTTCCATAAATACACAGGTGCTAAACATTTCGACATTTCAAAGTATAATCATCTTTAATTAATTATAAAAACAATACGAAATCACAGGCACGTGTAAATAAGAAACTTGAGTATGGTGACATACTTTGCATGCAAAACACTAGATATGTAATATTTGTACATTACGCAAAAAAAATATCTTGAATTCTCGATAATTTCTTGTCCATATTGCCCAATACATCTAATGTATGTAATTAGGGTATTTATACGATTGTGTTTTGTTATGTGTGAAGTAAACCAACCTGCACAGGACCAATGTGGACTCAAACTTCTCACTATGGGCTATCATAATCATCCATTGCTTAAAGTACGCTCCAGGCCCGTGACCACCGCTGGGTTTTTAGTGGGTATTCCGGCCACTTCTTGGTCAGCGAGTCCCACATAACCCCGTCACATGCATTGCATGCTCCCACCATGCGTCCTCTCTCGATAATGGGGGGGATGCGTAAATGCATTTTCCCACCGAGAAAAAAATAGCTCCGGGCCCCTCAATGAGGACGTTTGAGCACATGATAATGAAATGTTTTGGGAAATAATTAATTACCATTTAAAGTGGAAGCAATTCCGCGTTTCGTCTTATGAGTGTGGTGCCAGAGGCCTAATTTTAGTCCCTTTCCCTTTCCACCCGTTTCTTAAAGGAAAGGATGGGAAGGAAAAGTGAATTTGACGGTGGAGGAGACGCATAGGGAGGGAAAATGTCCTCTTTATGTGCGTCTCCTCCGTCGATTAAGGGTAGGCGACGTGTCTGGAATTGCGGTTGTTTATGGGCAGTGGTCGCTTTCCATTTCGGTGGATACAGGTGACCGTTTGCTCGTTTGCCACCTTAACGTTATAAAAAAATCAATTATAGACAATAAAATCAAAAGGTTTCTTGACAGTACAGTAAAACTAAACAAAGGCTAAATGCAAATAAATCTGTTTTACTTATGCATGAACATATCAGTTTTTGAAACGTGATGAAACATTGTAGAGTATAGTAAACGTGAAATCAAAATAGTTGTTGGTGTGAATTGATAGGCTGACAGAGGAATTTATTAGACAGTACATGTTAAGCGTTTCCTAAGACTTCTAACTTTTAAAGCGTCAGGTAAACGATCGTTTTTTGTCAATTTAGATCCAGAAATTCAATAAACATTATAAATGTAATGAAAAGAAAAGCCTAATTTAAATACGTAAAATTTGACAAAACAATTGACTGTTTATTGGACCCTATTCACCCTACTTACTCTTTAATCATTTAAGAACTAGATTACATATTGAAATGTATTTAAGTACATAAAAATGCTTAAAAACCAGGTCATTGTAAGACAAATATGCACTAAGTATGTTCACATTTTTGACTTAACAATCACTTTCAGAGTTCGATAGCAT